ATTATATTAAAATATAATATTATATAAGAAATATTAAAAATTAATATTTAATAATATTAGAAATCAGACGTTTCTGTTTCAACATTGAAATTGGGAGTAAAAACGAGATGCATCTTTCAAATAATATATTTATTCTTATTTTAAAATATATGCACAACAGTTTAGGTGTTATTCACAATTAGGTATTTCTGTTCCATTTCTTGTTTGTTTGATTTACAATTATATACTCTTTACAATTCGCGGTTGAGGTAAAACTAAATTTATCAAAGATATCATTTAATATACTTGAGAATATTTTTATAAGAATTGAATTGGAAATTGTCTAGCTAGTCGGCCTCCGTTTCCCGGTTCATTTACCGTCAACAATCTGACAATGATCACAGATTTGCGTCGACTGGGTGTGAAGGGTTGGTATTTCTCTCCGGTGGGAAGATTTCCTGGTAAGGGGGCAAGAAAGACCTAGTGTACGATTACTCGATCGTGTGATAATCGTTTCTCGTTAAATTGTGTTCTCCTTCGTTGAATGACAATGGGATTCGAATAATTCAGATATGAGACGGTCGCGGGTCGCGCGGAAGCGAGCTTAGTTTAAATTGTTCTTCGCACGTTGAATAGTATACTTGATAATCTTCCCTTCTTCCTGCAAATTTAATCCTAATTAAATATTTAGTTGTTTACTCTCCTCCTGTTTGTGCAAGCCACGTCAATCGTCTCGGTCGCGATTAATTAAACGAGCTTGCGAATCTTAATTCGATGGGTGCAGTCGTTGATTCACATTTTTCAACAGAACAGAAGTCCTCAGAGACGCTCGTTGCGTAAAATAAAAACTGATACTTTAGGCCGCGTTGAGAAAACGTTTTTAAATTTCAATAGACAAAATGAACGATTATGCAATTTACTTTTATAGAATTCAATTCCATTGAACAGTGCCTCTGATTTCTGATTCTGTTGATCGCAAGCTCGGTAATCAATGCGTGTGTGCACGTGCACAGTGAACGTTATCTGTTAAAGAGCAACATTAAAAATGGTGACGACGAGAAGAGGACAAGTACTAAGAACGATGGCTTCAAAGAGAGAGGATTCTAGTGCAGAGATATCGAGCGGTGACCATATGAAAGAAAATAACGAAACTGAGCTGCGGACGCCCACGACGGATTCCTGAACGTTTATGCAGTTTCAATAATTCCTTAAAAAGAAGTTCATCCCCATTCAACTCGAACCACACTGAGCAATCTTAAAACCACATGAGAACAAATTCAAACGGCAGGGAATAAAACGATAGTCTCATAAATTGATAATAAGTTAAATTCGCTAGAAGAATTCTTGAAACTATTCGAGTTGAACGAGGCTAATTTCGTATTCGACGTGTATGTATGTACACCGGTGTTAACTATATTACATATGCAACAATACGTATTATGTATGTACATCGAACTATGATCAGGATGGTCGCGTTGATATTTGCTTTCGGGCCGGAACGCGGATCTCCTCGCGTTTCTCAGTTGCCCCGAGCATGCATATTACTATTACATTTGAAACCGCTATAGCATATATTCGCTCAATTCATTTTTTCGTGATTATCTCGAATAAAATTTATAACTAAGAGTGTTTAGGTGATAACTACCTTAAACGATCATCGATTCACTTAGATAATTTTTAACGAAATCCTGTGAATTCTCATTTGAAGTAATTATTGTTATTTGTAACAAAACTATTAGAAGACGTCTTTAGAATTGTGTTAGAGATCAGGGGATTAATGACGGAGCTAAAAGCCAGGAAACAGAGCCCCTTGGCGATTCGAGAAAGCATTGTGGTCGATATCGTGTTTTGTTTGAATTACCAGCTACCACTGTGCGCAAACTGTTGCGATAACAGTTTGGTAGCTCGTCATGGCCCTGAGCACTGCGTCGCATGGAACGCGTCCTCTCCAACCGGAAACCTAAATACCGTCGCAACGGAAGACTCCAGTTCGGCAAACCAGATAACCAGAATATCAATTGTAATAAAGGGTAAAAGTAATCTGAACCCTGCCAAGTATAAAATAATAAATACATTTAACACTAAGCCTATTAATATGAACTCTTTCAGACTTTGCTTGTTATAATAAGGAAATCATTAGAATATGCACTAGTCTTGTACATGTATAAATAGAAAAATCAATAATACATATATTAAGAATTGTGTAAGATAACAGAAATCTAATTTAGAAATGAAATTTAAAGAGCTAAAGCGGTTCCATCGATTATACCTCCTCTATCTTCCAATTCTCCTCATTATATACACAATACCTCATGCGATTCCATTGATCACAACTTATCAGGGCGGATAGAAAAAATACAATTTCCTAATCTAGCAGTCAGCGCGTCCCTCCTCACTGTTTTCAATTTAATCGATTCCATGTCCATCATTTCGTACCTAATATTCTGGCAAACAAGAGATAATACGCTTATAATAATAATAGCTGCTTCCGTTTTAAAATTGCATTATGAAGTATTTGTAGAAGTTATCATTTATCATGTGAAAGCTGTTTGAATCTGATAAGCAGCATTGATTTGACCACTTCTGGCAGCTTAAAAAGCAGATGTGTTATAAATTCCGAATTCGTTTTAATCGAATGGTACAAAACACTTGAACAAATCTTTAATTAAAATAGTACGGAGGTAGGGACGCGGCTCGGACGATGCTGAGACGTGTTAACTTTCGCGAATCTGTGCCCGCAGACCTTGGAATGTTCGAAAACCGATGTAAATTTCATTTAACAATGTTTTAAGACTAATTTTATATATCGAACTGCAGGAGGGAGCGTTTGTTCAGACGAAACACCAACGACTGGTCGCTCGTCGGCCCGATATGAAAGCTGGTGAAGATAAACTACAAGAGGATCCAGTCCCCCATTTATTATTCCTCGAGATTAATTCTTCCCCTTACGATTAGAACACGATTGTGTCTTTTGGTAACACGATGGACGCGTAGAGAAACGTATTGAAGCTTCGCTTAAGAGGAAAGCATTTTAAATTGATTCCTTTTACTATTTTTTCACTTTTCTTAACATAAAGAATGAAACGTACACTTTTAATTTTGCGCTGTGCGGCAGAATTATCGCTCGAACGTACGACTGAGGATTGACAAGGAGAAAAAGAAAACGAATGGCAGTCGCGACTAGAAGAAGAGTCAGTAGACAATAGGATGACGGCTCTATGACCGTGAAATGAAAATCATCGACGGGCCGTAGAAAATTCTGACCACGCTAATCGTGTAAACTGCGGATTTTTATGATTTGCAAAAATGTACGAAGCAGCCGTTAATACAAAAGAGCCGATGCAATCGTTGAATAAAGTTCTTATAGGAATTATTTTTATAAAAATCTGATTTCGTACAAAAATCCGCAGTCTGTAAATCGAGAGAAACGGTGTGTTTACAAAATGTGTGAGACGGAGACGCACTCTAAGCGATCTAGAAAAATAGAGGCGCGAACCACTTCGTCGACGACACACGGGACGAGCACGTATCGTTTTTCGATTCACATATAAAAAGTAGAAAAAGTAATACAGCGGCCAAAGCAAGGCTTGAAGCGAATCGGTTCTCTCTCGCTCTCTCGCTCTCTCTCTTGTTTTTTTCCTAAATAGAATTTCACCCTTAGCACCAATTCCATTCCGCGGTAAGCGAAGCGATATTTTAAAAAAGATACACGTTATTGCTACGTTATTTAAGATATCAAATTTGTTTTCCGAGTGCAAAGGGTGAAACAGGTGTCGGGATCGTAGGTAAAAGAAATTGTACAAAGATCGTATCATCGGTTATCAAGAACGGTGGCTGAACGATTCACCTAAAAATAATCTAAAATGTGTACATAATAAATTAAATCGAAATTAAACAAAACATTGAAACATGGTTTAAAAAAAAATTATATATCACTTATCTCGACAGCCGATGATGCGAATCTGATTTCTGCTTCTTCGCATCGCCAAATCCATTCGAGCTCCACAACACTCGCGTAACGTAAGCGTAAACAGGCTTATACAATAATTAATGTCCTTTAGGCTAAACCGTCCATGTGTCTAATTCGCGTTAAACCCTGTGTGTGTATGTGTATGTGTGTCATAGATGTAATCTTCCACGGTTTCCTGCTAGCTCGATCTCGGTAGTCCACCGAGAAGTTGTGCGTGTTGACGCTAATTCTCTCACTGCCAGCCTCAGGCATGCACAAACCGACTCCAGACACTCTTTACATGTTAAATTCACAAACACGCAATTGTAATAAATATTAATAACCAACCAGCGAACTTTGAGTCGCGTTTGCTAAAAGTTTCTAACGATGTTTCAACTATTCAATTTATGTACAAGCTTTATTAACATCCATTTCGATCGGCGTTCGTGGAGTCAAGACGTAGGAGGTGACGTCAGTTTGTGCCTGAAGCCAGTTATTTGTTTCGATAAATTCTACTATCTCCTCTATCGCTTCCCTTCGAAGGGGGTTCATCTTGATTCTTCCTGCTCCTCTTTCTCTTCGAGCTCACTCTATCGGTTCCGTCGTTTAGTTCTGTGGAGCTCGTTTCCCTGTACTGTGAAACCCTTCACTGCTGGGCGTCTCGATTCTCTGACACGCGCGATTTCTGTTGGTTGACGGGGGATCGCTACAAGCTTAACGGTCTAGCTGAAGCCGACCGGGCGGACGTTACTTCCCGTCTCTGGCCTGGTTGTTGGCCTTGTACCTCGGCAGGTAGAGACCGAACTTAGTCTCGATACCGGTGAATATTGGCAGCGCGACCTGGTACCCGCCTATGTGATCCGGATTCGTCGACCGGAACGACTCCCCCGTCGACACCTTTTGCTCCGACCCAGTAGGTCGACTGAAACAATCAATCGCACGCTGTTCATCTAGCATCTCGTTACTAGAATTCACTTGTGTGAATTTCAAAACCAGCATCGGAACTTGTAAAGAATTCGGCCCTTCGTTAGACTTTAATCGCAACTATTAACAGTTTTAGACTAGAACTGAGAAGGACGTACTTACCAAAAGAATAAATGATTCCGAATGATACATTTTAAATTTGCATGCACAAGAATCATGTGTTCAAAATCGAAATCAGAGATCAAGCGATCAAGTAATATACTTACGATCCACCGAAGTCGACCACGAAGAGCCTTTGAAGGAGTTCGTAGGTGAAGAGGGTAACACCGAACTGGGGTGACGATCTGAACACTCGTGCTGTAAAAGTTGGAGTACCTAAGTGACAACGTTCGCGACCACGAAAAATGTTCACACACTCTTTGTCCGAATAAAGATTTGACGCCCGAAATAAATGTGAAACGTATTATGAATTGTTATAAACTTGATCATGTGCGAATGGACACATCTGCCGGACATTGACACAACTTGAGAAATATCTTCCTCCTAGGACTAAAACTGCGTGATTAGTATCGTGAAATGAAATCAATCAGTAAAAAGTAGTACACATGAAAAATGATCGAAACCGTGCGATGCGATGTGATTTTTTTTTTAAATTTTTTTTATTCGTATTTTATTTATCTCTTGACGACACCACTCTGCAAACGAAGATCAGTAGATAATCCAGTAGAAAAGAAAGTTACGAAGAAAAACAACGTAGGAAAAACAAACGATGAAAAACGGGGAACAAAAATCACGAATACTGTGGCAGGCAGAGAGAGAAAGAATTACTCACTTTGAAGTAAGTCACCAGGTCATATTTGGGGGGAAAGAATAGTCGAGAGATGCGCCGGGGCCAGACGCCCGTCGCATGCAATCGACCAAATCAAATATATGTATTACTAACTTTCTCAATGTACAACTTAAAAAGATAAATGTTACGACCCGCTACCGCGATAATCACTCGATATCTACTACTAACGTAATCACGGATAATTTTTTACCTGTCGCTCCCTTCCAGAACGCCCTCGCACCCTCCTCATTATAGATTTTCCTAGCGCAGTCTGCCAGCCCGCTGTACGTCGTCTGTCCTCGCCTGGCTACCACCTAATAAAAATTTACATAAAACATTGTAAGATCTGCAAGAAAGGGCAGAACCGCAGGAAAGAGGATTTTATTTATAATTCGAGAAGAACGTACTTGCAATCTGGTCTTGATAACATCTGCAGGGGTGACCAGCGCCGCCGCAGGTACACCAGCGATCGCACCGGCGGCCAGAAGCGACAACGGCGTATTGTACCCGCCTTCGTCAGCCAACCGTATCTTCGTATGAGCGTACAGTGGAAAATAGATTGCACTAAACGGAATATCCCTCAAGAAACACGCCCTCGCACCCTGAAGCAAGACGATGCATTTAATTCCAAGATGAAATCGAGTCTCGATCGCGATATGCTTACTTTGTACAAGCCGAATATTCCAAGTTCTTTGACGACAGTCCACGCCCTGACTTTCGACTTGCCAGCTATCTCTCCGGCCACCTGTAGCCGAATCTTCACGATTTCTAACGGGTTCGTAAATATTACTTGAGAAGCTCCCGCCTGAAAAAGTTTAGAAGATATAAGAAGACTCAAACCACGGCGAAATTTGTAATTATTCAGTGTTTATGAATTTTATTCGCTTACACAGCCGCCAGACATGATTTCTCCATAAAGAGGCAGATTGCCGTTCTTGTCCATGAACTTGTCCCTGACGAAGTCGTTGACGGTGAGCTTGATGGCCTTCTCGGGCGCCACGCCCATCAGCTGTGGTAACAGGCCTCGGTAGAGGCCGAAGAAACCCTCGTGCCGGATCACCTGTCAAACGCGACAAGCCATCTTCATAATTAACGATGCAGGCTGTGTGCCACGGCGAGACTTTTCGATTCCAACCTTTTTCAGACAGTCAAAGCTGTTCCGGTACATCAGCTCGCCGACCAGGGAGCCGGTCCTCTGGTTCTGCATCCGCGTCTTCACCAGGTCGATGGGATACACCGCCGTTGCGCCCACAGCTGAGGGGGAAAGAATGATTAAAATCAGATAGCAACAATTTGATTGATTCAAGGCAGTAACAGTGAGGATAATCGTAAACTCACCCCCTCCAACGGATCCCAGGATGAACCGGTAACCGCTCTCGAGTATCTGCACGACGATTCCGCGCTCTTCGGGGCTCTAAAACAACGGAACTCGTGATTGAGCAAAGCGAGAGAGAGAGCGAGACGATTCCGACGTAGATGGATAATGGTTTTGCAAACGATTAAAAAATGCTGGGTGTCATTGGATTGGCTCCACACTTACCGACACCGCTTTGATCTCAGCTAAACGTTTCGTGATCTGCTTGAAATACTGCTCAGGTGTAATTGCCACGAGATCACTGTACACAATATTCCTGAAACCCGAGACAGATCGCTCAGTACGTGTGGATCCCTGTTGCAATTGTCGAGAGAAGAAAAAAGAAAAGCGAGAACTCGGAAGGTGGAGGAAGGCTCAGAGATAATAGAAAAAAAAAAGAGAGACAAATGAAACGTGTGATGGTCGTCCTAACGAGAACGTTGCGATGGCACACCGGTTCGAGCGACTCTAAAAATATATCCTGCCGATATCGAGACAAGGCGAGGTCCTTAAACGTGTCCTTAAAGGTCTGTGATTGCGTACAAACAGTTATCGTTAGTGTCCACGTGGTGCCAACGTATTTGCGAATGCCATCGTCCTAAGATAGATGCTGAAGAGAAGTGGGTGGAGACGCAACCGTTGTGTACATCATCGATTTACATACGGATAATCCAGCGAAAGGAATGGAAACAATCGCTCTAAAAGGCAAACGCACGATTTAACGGAGTGCAAAAAGATTCAGACGAGCTGAGTTCGATCGTGAGGATTCGTTTGACGTTTGAGAGGACAGTTTCCATTGCTCTCGCGCTTATAATGTAGAGGCCAGCGTTAGAACGAATTTCATAGCACGTGATTACTCTTTTAATACAAATGACGCACCCAAGCCGCGGATCTGCCGTGTCATCTTCCGTAGACCTGATCCAGGCAGCGTAAACACGTAAACAGATACATTCAATATCGCTTCGATTCAAAGTTCACGTCAAATCGGATTAAATAAAGTTCGTTTACTAGTAAAAAAAAAAACTCGATCAACGTTCTTTCTCTCTCTCTCTCTCTTGTTTGGATGACGACGACGTTTTGTGCAACGATAACCACCTGACTCTCTCACTACGTGTGTCTCGTTTACCAAGACAGCTATTCTGTTCGTGTTCTCTCTGCACGTGACCTTTCTTTCGTTCTTTGGAAACGGAACGGGTTGGTGCCCATCAGTGGGGATCGTTAACACTTACCCGGTTTGGTGCAGCAGGTCGCACAGCTGGAACAGGATGTCCACTTCTAACGGCGTGATCTGCGACATCATTTGTGCGGAATGAAGGAATCTCTCTGAAAACAATTAAACAACATCCAAATTGACCTCAAGAAGACAGCAAGAGATGTCAGACAGTCTCAATGAAATGCAAAATTATTTATCTATTGTAAACTAAAGAAGAATATTATTACCTTTGGTGACTTCTTCAAATCTGTGACCGTTCGTCGCGTTCAGATAAATACGTTTAATGAGCTCCATGTTGTTCAAGAGGGAATTGAACGCCATGAAATACGGGAAGCTGACTTTCCGCCCGCTCGTCCCAGTACTAGCCGCCTGTACAATTCACGAACTAGTCAATTCAACATTCTCATGCTTGAATTTCGATCAAAGAAATAGTAGTGGACTTACAGCGACTAAGTTGTCTTTCACATCCTTAGTTAGCAAGTGGCTCTTGATACTGAGCATGATATCTTGGAAGTCTAACGCCGAGATGAAACCCTGGCCATCCTTATCAAACTTCTTAAACGCCTCCGTCGCGTACTCCTCATGGAAATCCTAAGAAGAATGTTCAATCGTCAAGAATAGAAATGAAATAAGAGAACATTAAAAATTTGTTAAAAATGAACTCACGTGCAAGAATTGACTGAACTCCGCATAGCTGATCAGCCGCTTTTTATCCCTGCCGAAGTAAAGTTTAATGAAACTGCTTTCCATGTTGAAGGGCATCCTCTGGTGGAGTTCCGTCTTCCGCATCACCTCAACGAACTCGTCTGAAGGATTCAGATTTTAGCTAAGAGATCGAAGTCAATGGAAAACAATTAAGAAATCTACGCACCAAATGCAACCATTCCATTTCCATTAGTGTCGAACAGCTGGAACGCTGTCTTGTAAAGGGCGTCCGGCACGCACAGCAGCCCCTCGAACGCTTGGAACTCGGCGAATGATATGAGCCTGCAAATTATTCAATATTGTCAATTAAAAATCATTTGTAATGAACGTAATAATCTTGGAAATGCTATAATCTGAATTGACGAATTGGGTTCAATTGGGATTAAATGTTCGGTTACAAGTCTGAATGAGAAGCATGAATGGAGGATGGATACAAACCCATCTTTGCTGGTATCGACGATACCGGCGAGCAGATTGACGGAGTCGGGATTGTAACCCGAATAGGTGTATAGTCCAAGATAACTTCGTACGAAGTCGGTCGGGGTCATGAACCTCTCGCCATCCTTCTCTTGTGAGGCATACTAGAAGTTATTCCATAATTCTTATTTATAATCGAACTCGACAAAACTAGGCATCTGCAGTTTGTTCATTTTTTTACCTGATTAAATATTTCATGGAGGCGGTCAGTGTTCGCACGCTTTAAATATCCGGAACCCTGGAAATCAAACACATTCTTTTTTATTATTAATCCAGAAGAGAGTCGCCAGTCGCTCGTTCATAAAACATTTCTGCTTGATTTTAGAAAATGGATTTCACGTTTGACAAGGTTTATTCTTATCACGAGGCAATCGATAGTATTGAAGCCGAGTTGGAGTGTCCCACGGTCGGCCCTGACGTTAATCATTTAAGGACATTAAAATGAACGGCGATACGCTTAAGGGCATTCATATTTCATTAACATCCGATTTCGAATTCTGTTTCTGCTTTGACAGCACGTTATCTCTGACGCTGGGGACGAGTTTTTTAAACATCTCCAAGGTTATCGCTGATAGGGGTTATCAATCGCAACGCAACAAGGTTGCATTCCCCTGCATTCCGTTGCGTAACGCCAACATTTTATTCTAAAAACGAGAACGCGGGGAGATGAAAGAGGATTAATTAATGTTTACCTCGTTGTTACGCGTTACTATGTATACCTAATTTGTTAGTACGAAATTTACGCATGAACAACTGAATGTAATTCGTGTTGGAGTTTCATGCGAGACGAGGACTTGTTTACAGGGAAACTTTGATAAACGCAGGAACCGTGTTCGAAACTCCTGTTAGCGAAGAAGCGACAGGATTTAAACATTGGTCCGTTAGTAACTTGATCAACGCTGGATTAACACAAGCCTGGAACTATAACAGTCGTCGAGTATAGTTCAAAGTTCAGAGGCAAGCTGAAAAGCCACCCACAAGCATTTAATTATGACTCCGCGGGAAGGGAAATTCACATGGCAATTAAAAAACCTGGAGATCTCGAGGCGACCACGAAACAAAGCGGAAACTTTTGTTGTCTCAAGAAAACGAGCTAATTGGATACTCGCGTAACCTACGTTATTCCATTTATTTATTTATTCGTTCTTCTCTTGCAATTATTGAGACCCGGAAGGCCCCTTTTCGCTCTTTACAGAAGGTTACAATGTTATGAAGATAAAAATAACAATGTTACATATATTTCTGTCTGTCTTTTCGCTTCCTTTGACAATACTGAATTGTCGACAACGTTAACTACTTGCCTTCTCTAAGTAGGGCTGCGCAAACTCCTTACCCACTCCCTACGTTATTAGAACTTATCTCGACACCGAACGATGGGAAAAATCAAATTTTCATGAGCGTTCGATCCGTGCCAATGAGCAAGCGTCACGTGCTAACCACGTGATGAAATTACGATACCCGGTTGTTCACGGCCGTGCTCAGTAGAACTTGACGCAGAAAATAATGCTTCGCTCGATGATATATAAGCGTGACACGCGCGTGCCAGCATCAAGTACGATAACACCGAGAAAAAACGAGTAGCTACCAAAAATAATCGACTCCTGGCGTCGATTTCCCGCCCAGTCCCGAACCAACCGCGTGTTTATACAAACAATTTCTGTTAAGAACAGTCATTATGTTGATGCAATTCGGACGAAGTGATAACCCGAGAGTTTATGTATTAATTGAACAGTTTGAAGATTACAAGTTTAACCCTGTGTCTTAAAAAAGAGAAGCTTCATGCAGCTGATAAATAAACAAGTGGTCAAGAGGTCGTGAGCTGAACTTTCTACAGAAAACAGTCAGAAGCCGAAGGAATTTTTCAGACTTGTTTTACTGTAAAATTGATTCTGACAAACGCGATTCCATGAGATGGACCCGCGGTCGGGTTTCGAGGACGACGGCTATTCAGAAATCATTCGGAACGCCCAAGCACAGTAGGACGATTCTCACATGCCTCACATACCATCGCAAGATCTTTGGGTCTCTCGGCTGGTCGGAAGGAGGACGGAAGAAGAACAGCTGCGGATTACGTTTTTCTACTGGTGCGCTGGGCGGAATATCGGCATGCTTTGCGACACGCGATCGGCAGACGCGTGTTCTTTCACAGGAACACGCACACGTGTATGACGCGGCGGAACTCGATGGCAGTGTGCGTCGGTTGAGTGCGTGGCACTCGCGCTCGACCGTCACAGATCAGACTAAACAACCTTCAGCTTATACGAATACAGAACACTGTCATCTACTCCCACTACTCACTGTCAAACGAGATAGTCGAAAAACTCGATAACAGAGTCGACTCAAGACATTCGCCAACTTCGGACCAGTTCTGCCCGCTATTCATTCATGATTCACTAAATGATTCCCTTTTATAATTCATTATCGTATTTATTTTAAAGAAACCTATTGTAGGAATCTTAAATGGGGAGAGACCCTAGACATAACCCATAAACCGTACAAAGGTCTGAGAGATTTCTAGGTATTCTTGTGTGGGTCTCTCATGGATACACAGGCAAAATGAGACAAAGAGAAAATGGCATTCCAGTTAGAGTCGCAAAGCATTCTCTTCGATCCTAACATTCTTTAGGAGACTCAGGAATTTAATTGAAACTATGTTTTTAATATTTAAAATCTATACTGTTCTAAATCATCTTCTAACTTCATCATCTAAATAAATTAAACAAATGGTTGTTTAAAATTTGAAATAGTACAAGACTCGAATGGCTTTAATACTAAAGCAGCATCGGTGCCATCGCTAGCAGATCTACCAGGGAGTCTCATCGGTTTTTCTATGAACCGCGTGTCTTCAATCTCGTCTCGGCTCATTTTTGTCCCAAGCAATTTCACGCAAACATTTCTCATCGCTTCTTCACAGTCTTTTTTACTTTGATTTCCTTGTCAAATCTCCTTATGTTACTTAACACAAAAGAACTAGAATAATTTGCCTTATCTTCGAACGTTTTATAAATATCACTGTAATTAGTCGCTTAAACGAACAATGATAAAAAAGACATTAGCATCAATTATTCATTTTTCCATTTGTATTCGTACTGTAGAAATCATCGGCAAGCAACGTAAGGGATGAACGAATAAAAAATAAAAAACGAAACCTGATCGAAACCCACTCGAGGCGCATGAATAGATTTTTTTTTTTGCGCATTAGTGGTTTGTTTGTTCGAAGTGCCAATCGTCGTTCATTGTCAAGACCGGGGTTATGTATTTTTGCATGCACCGAAAGCGCGTGCCTTGGCCAACCGGGCGGCTTCCTGTGTGCAACTCGTTTTGCAACGGCAGCGCGCGGATTACGTAATACTACCTTTAGCGCTGCAGCGTTTGCACGTGCCACGTTTCAATATTCGCTAATTAATCACGCTAATTAACCTGATTTCTTCTTTCCTACCCGCGATGCCTGTATCCTTCACGCCCCTCCCGCTTATCGAGTTAACATTATTTTAATTAGGCGGTAAAGTCAAAGACAATTATTCCGCAACTCGGATACTAAGATTACGTTCATAACTAAACTACAGATTTTTAACCATTAGAGATTAAATTATTTTGTATCGC